AAACAACCAAGTGAGTTTTGGAGACCAGCGAATGACATAGCAAAAGACCGTGGGTTCAGTGAGTCATTCTAGCATTTTACTAGTCACTTTGTAACTTAACATCGAGTCCCGTAGGAAATACGCGTTTGTTATGTTTAATGATGCACTGCCATTTATGCCACCAGACATCATCATGAATTCCCTGTGAGGTACGCCATTCTTTGGTCAGACCGCTTCGCACAAATCTCCTCTTCATATGTAGTTAAAAGTGCAACGACTGACCTGAACAACTCACTTGTTAAAAGCAGTTGATCTGATGTCTACGTATCGATTCCTGCCGAACGTGCTATCTCTCTAATTGTGGTTCGAACCCCTAGTTGGATTGGATAGAAAAACCCGGGATCTTAGACGTTCCGTTGGAAGGCTCCTTCATTTCCGACATGGATCTACTTTTTGATTCTGGGGCGCCTTCTCAATCAGAGTTCATACAAGACCAACAAAATGTTACCGAAAAGATATTTGAATGTTGCACGGAAACGAATACCAATCTAGTCTCCCTACCCATACGACCCGTTCTTTGTACGTCTATTCCACTTGCTGATCAAGGGCTTAAGCGGCTTGAACTTCCAGCTCGGGCTTGAAAGACAGATGGTAAAATAAGGTTTTGCTTAGGTTATCTAAAATGGCTTCAGCACAGCAGTATAGACCGTCCCCTGTCCAGTATCTCTTCTGAAGACTTGTTCATAATGCCCAAAGGAGGTCAATACTTTGAACAGTTAGACCATGTAGAGGCTCAATTACAAGAAGTGTCACAAGACTCAAAACATTAATTTGAATCCTTAAAACAGAATACTGTTTGGCGTGGAAATCCCACTCTTAGCAGGTGGGCCAGCCTCAAAGGCGTATTTAGACTATGTTGTAGTTGCGGGAAACACAGCTTGTGAGCTGCTTGAAAGACAATACAAACTATAGCTTCCATCTCAAGTGGATAACTGTAAGTTTTGATCGCTCCCATAAAGCGTTTGCTTCTCAATTTCAGTTAGTTGTTTGGTCAACAATCAGACTGTGATAACATTGATACCTATCGACATGAGTTCCCTTCGCTCATAGCGGCACATACTGTGGGCGAACTCCTCAACAGGCTACTGTTTAAAAACGTGAGGTAGTATTGGTCAGATAAGGGCCAAAATTCTTTTTGTTCTGTCAAATTGGTGTTAAACTTGGACCGCTGTCTTACGAATTTCGATCCAGAGTTACCCACCATGGTTGTTTCCTGATTGAGACAAAAACACCATCATATACGCTGTCGGTTCTCTAACTGCGGCTAAAAAAGATATGGACTAACTGAGAAGAGAAAACGTTCTCTTGGATATGCTCCAACAGCGTTTCATAAGAAGGTTAATGGATATCATTTTACCCTTTTAACCGACCATCAGGCTCTGTTAGCTATATCTGGCTACAAAAAGGGGATTTCAGCTTACGTTCCAGGTGGACTACAACGCTGGACAGCTACAATGTTTGCTTTTACAGTATTCACAATCATCATTCATCTAGCTTTGGACAGACTTATGTTTGTTCACTAATAATAGACTTATACAAGTCACCTGAAGAAGATACTATGCTTGCTTCCATGGCCTTCGAAAACAACATCGTACGCTCGGATAGAGGTGCCGTTCGTGTATTTTTGGCTACTTCTCCCGACGTTAAGGAAGCTATGGCATCACACCCTTTGTTAAAAGAGACCATTCTTTAGGTGAAAATTCTTATCCCGCCCCAAAGCCCCAGAAGATCTAGAAATTTTCTAGAAACTATCAACTTCCGTTGATAGTGTACTCATGTCCAATTTTTGTAGGCAGAGTAAATTTATCTGCCTCCGTCGTTCCAGAAGTAATGAGGCAATCCCACGCCGGACACACAAATATCAGCGTCATAAAGACCACTTGCCCGCAGTAATGTTTGTTGACCGCGAAACTATAACCACACTGAGCACCACATCCGTGTTTTTCCCGGCTGCGTTCGTGCGTTGAACGACCCTGGCCTACTCCATAATGCTCATGGTTAGGAGTGCATTTCGATTTTACCGCCTTAGTTGATGCTGCTAATTATCTGAATGCTGTTGATGTTGTGCATCAGCTACATGTCGTAATATCTATATTCCGATGTGCGGTTAGTCAGTTAGGTAATACAGTAACATTAGTCTTCACTAATGGGTAGCAACTTTTTTCAGTAATTTTGCCATCAGAATGGCATTACTGATGTGCGTCCTCAACTTCATCAATCCCAATCAGACAATCAGACGGGGCGTTTTGTCGACGCATTCAGGCAAGCGTTAGTCAAGTCAAAGGCATGAAAGTCTTTCTGCTTGCCTGCCGCAACACCATCTTGCAAATATCTGAGAAGCAATCTGAGCGCAGTGGAAGCACTGTTGGAGCGCAAGTTGCCATGTCAAACCGATGGCATGTTTCCAGCGAACGGACCTATGTATTTTAAGTCTCGGTAAAACCTCAGCAGAGCTTAGACGTCGGAGTCCGCGTGTGTATCCGGTGTTACAGGGTGCTTCCTACCAACATGGACCGCTGGCGTAATTCAGCCGCTCCATATAAATGTGCTATATCTTATAAAATAGATACGTTCATGGCCCTCAATTACCACATCAGATTGTCACACCATTCCGATTAGATGTGATATTTGACACTTTTGGTTCATCAAATCATGCAGTCAGGCAAGCACAAAACACAAATGGATCCTAATAGACGAGGCACTTTATTGACTACTAGCAATGTTGTGGAATGTAGGTAGCCCGGATGCGCTGCTTGGTTGTTGGTCTGTTCGCCGAGCTTGGCAGTTGGATTGAAACGAGATGACATCGTCAGTGCAGTGCTGAGTGGGTGGATTTCTCCTCTTCTGCCTGTGATGTCATATAGTCACAGGCAGAAGTGTAATCCAACTGCCAATGTCGGCGGACAGACCAACTTTATTGACTTCCCATAAGTTAAGTCCCGTTTGCAACCCTGGTGTTCGCGGGTATCTTAGTTACAGCAAGCTGGGGCCACGCAACATAACAAAGATGAAGAATCTCGAATTTTTTTTATTAGACAGTCCAGAATGCTTTGTCAGTTAACTTTACGCGTGAACCATGCATAGGTTTAGCAATTCTTGTGTTCACTGAGCTAGACATCTAGGTTGCAAATGTCTGGCCCCCAACCAAAGCGAAATCATCAGTCCGTAGGAAGTTACTGGCAGCTCGCTGCGTAGAGAATGAGCGGTGCAGTGCTTGTGGCCATATATCATCTTTGATTTGGAGATGTCCCATGAATTCGATTGCTTGTTCGGAGAACTGTCCCCGTTGGTTAGGGTTATTGGTCGGCGAGTTTGACCAGGTGAACTCGGATTTTCGGGCTCCTTGACTATCATTCTTGTCACCCGGTTTGTCCACCTGACAGTCGGTTAACTTTATGTTGTCACCTTGAGTTGGTAGTACTTTGTTTGTAATGATACGTAGATAGGGTAGGTTTACATATGTAGGCTGATTGAGTTTGTGGCAAAGTACCATGCCTATAAGAACTCCATTGCATACCACATGCTTCCGCATTTTAAGAAATCTTGAAGGGAAAAGGACGAAAATCGTCTGTGGTGGGGATTTGAATGCAGTTCATGTGTGAAATTCCAAAATAACCCTATAATATCCAACAAATAAATGTCTTTCTATCCCAGATTAGATACTTCTGTAGAGCTTTCCCACTCTAACAAGGCTGGTTGTTATGCTGCACATAGTAGCTTTTTTGTTTCCGCCCATAAATCATGCAAACAAGACGAGGTGAATTTCAATAACTCTCTGTGCTATCATAGTGTTTGGACATAAAAGCTTCGTTATCCTCTGTAGCATGAATCCGGAACTATCCTGTGCGGCTAAAGTGTGTGGAAAGTTATTTTCAAGTTCTAAATAGCTATGAGATACGTCAATTCGCTATAATCACAGAGAAGTGGACATTTGGAGCAAAATTTCTTCAGTCAACTGAAAAATGTTTGTGACCCACTGGGTAGTCATCTCCTCAGAGAGATTTCGTAAGTTCAATTTTCGTTTACCAAACTCCTCTGAAACAAATTCTCTTTAGTCATTCCTGGTTCAAATTGAACCAGGAACATATTTACAAACACAAGTAATACAAGTAGGTAACCTAGGCTTTCAACCAAATAGACTCACTTGCATATCACTTTGGTTATCATAAGAAATACCCACCTGAAGCTCAATTGAATCACTTGTTTATGATATCCTTCAATCAAATGTACCGGAAAAACTGTGTTTTTTGTTTCACTCGATACGATATTCGAGATATTACAGCATATTTTCAGGAGAGACATTAATTAGTTTTGCTGGAAGCTCCTCGGTAGTTCATATTAGGTTTTATATCGCTGGGTGATGACACTGTGTGGTGATTTAAAGCCAGAATTGCAATAGAAAATTTACAGAGCTGACTGTGCCCAAGTAAAACGATTAATGAAAAGCAAGTTTGGAGTAGCAGGAGTATATGAGAAGCATTTACTCTGATGAGTATAAAGTAGGACAAACATGCATAAATCAGATGTCAAATACTGGATGACAGCTTTGTTCACTTCTCACATTTCCGTCTCGCGTCTAATCGACCATATTAACTTTTCTTTTTTTAATTACTAGTAGATCCATGAATTCAGCCGGATTTATATAACTGTTTTTGATACTATGAGAAAATGTGGGTTTTGTTTTCGTTTCAGCTGATTGTTTCTGTAGGCATCCTTGTGGCTTCTGTATGAAACAAGCCGTACAGACTCGCGTCGTTCTGTTTGGAGAAGCCAAGGATTTGACAGGATTCCAATCGACTCTCATACTGGTTCCGGTTACCTGCACGGCCAAAGAATTGTTTGATCTGATTTTGGGACATTTCCCAAAGTTTGTTTGACCAAAGATGTTTTTCTAACAAAAAGACTGAGGCTAATAGAAAAATCTCTTTTCCTTACGTTGGACCTCCGATATATTGACGTAGAAGATAATAATACCTTGTTACATATATCTGACTCAAGTGAACTGGGAGTATTGCCCCCACTTGGAGGTGGATAGAAGCGGTAGGAAAATGGTAAGTTAATCGACAGCAGATAAAAGTTTGTTGCAGATTCAGAGTTACGTCGAACTAACGGAACTGCCAGTACGTCCGGATGACGTGGTAGCAAAGGTGCTAAGCCCCAAATGTGGTGCGATTGCAACATTTTTCGGTAAGTCTTTTTTCTAAGGAGTCTCAATCTGAAAGGTACCACACGTTCAACTGATGGAGAAAATCCAGTTACATATTTGGAGTACGAGGCGTACAATTCAATGGCCCTCACTGTGATGAAAACCATAGCCAAAGAATGTCGAATTCAGTGGCCGAAACTGGAATACGTCGCCATAATTCACCGACTGGGGTAAGTTCGCAATAACACTTAGCAACACATTCTCTAAGCTGGTAAACGAAATCATATTTCAGTTAGGATTTCGTCGTGAAAGCGAACCTAATCTGTGCTAAGAGTTACCAAATCGCCTCACACTACAATCAGAATAAACTACGCCCTTCCATTTTCCACAGGCGTTCTTTTGAGAGCTCTTAATATTGCAGTGAGAGCAAGTCAGTCACGTGATAACCCGGCATGGTTTTTCTCCCACCTAGGAAGCCAATTTTTCTAAGTACTATCTTAAGTATGGGTTAATCTCATGTGTGTCCCACTGAAAGTATCGCATTTGGTGAATTAGGTTTTAACAACCATTGTTTACTATTGTTTGGTCTAACATAAGAGCAGAAAGTACTCTTGAGAGAACATTGTTAGTTGGTCCCTTAAAACTTAACAGAAAATTGAAGATCAGAAGAGAAAAGCTTACCGGAAGGACCCAGTTCAACCAGCCATTTGAAGTCCTCCCTCGAGACGGGACATTTATATCTCTTTCTGATGATCAGCGTTTTAGAAACATTACTGCTGTGTTATCTGTTTTAGGGCTCTTGCCACAACAGAAATTGCAACAAGTTGTTAATTTTTTAAAACCGCTTGCAGGCCCTCACCAAATATGATCCTCACTGGAGATGGGTAACAACTTATATTAAGTCAGTCATGAGAGGTGTCATCTAAGGTTTAGTGTCCACAGAAAGAGGTGTCGCGGACTTGTTTGTTATTTCTAATAACTTTACCTTCGTGTCTTTGTTCAGACATCTAACTGTTGTCAGATTACTTCGAAACCCAAGACAACCCAATCATTGTCAGGAGAGATATTGCACTATGGGTATACTGGGATTAGTTTTTGTTCGAAAGGAAGAGTGGTATGCATAGGTATGACTATCGAGACAACGTAAATGAGCCCTATGTGAAGACTAATTTGGAGAAAGGCCTCTACTCAGCGGAACTTCTCTGGACTAATGTGTTTCTATGGGTGAGTCTTGGGTACAAAAAATATCTATATCAGTAGATTATCGTCTAAGAAATTCGTCAATGTTTACCTGCAGTTGTACCGTCTCCCTTCCACCAGACTTAAGACAAACAAATTGTGTTTGAAATTCTAAGTTATTACACAAAGAACGTCCTCCTCGAACAGGAACCACTCTACAGAAGGACACATAAGTAGTCCCTACCTAGTTGAACATTGCATTAAAAACAATATAAAATGAAGAAAAAAGCTGTCCTAATTTGGCATTCCGCTCTCATCTCCTCAGTCGTAATACTAAAAACCCATCAGTTTTACATCATAAATAAGGACAAATTTCAACAAAACCGTGGAACGGAAATAATCGGATGGTGGGCCGCTCAGGTCAGGTTCTTCTTTCCAACACAATCTAATAACATGTGTCACGGCCTTCTGTGAACCGGTATTGATTGACTGACATGGTTCCACCAAAAGATAATAATCTCGATTCGACACTGCGCAGCGAAATTCTGAATGCTTTAGTGAGGTCAACTCTGGGTACAGTGAATAGAATGTATTCGGAGATCGATGCGGCAGGTTTTCGGGTCTCAAATTACAGGTACGTTCCTAGCACACGCGTGTAACTGAACCAAGCCTTCGTGATCAGATCACACTCACTATCTGGATGTGAATTTCTTACGAAGAAACGAACCCTGAGTTCAACAAACCAAAACAGCAATTATATGCGAATTTTTGTCAGACGCACTTCAGCCTTCCTGCAGAATTAACATCCATTTACGTATGTGATTGTGCATTTGTCGTTTGGCTTTTGAGGCATTGTATTTTGTCATCTGAACCAACGAAAGCAGTCCAACGTCAGTGGCCTTGCTAACATTTTTTACCCAGCATATGTTTTTTCAACTTCAGGTAAAGCAATATGTAGGTATGATGACTTCACATACAATGATAAATATCAGACCAATTCTTTGATGGAGTCCTGTTCTCAATTTACCCAAATTTTACCCAAATCTAAAACTTCAGCGCCGCACAGGTGAATTCAAACGTCTGTTACACCGTCTATTAAAATTCGATGGGCAGAACCTTTTGACTCTTGTGTGTGTCTGATTTCTGAATTTACCCAAATTTTACCCAAATCTAAAACTTCAGCGCCGCACAGGTGAATTCAAACGTCTGTTACACCGTCTATTAAAATTCGATGGGCAGAACCTTTTGACTCTTGTGTGTGTACTTTCTGATTTCTGTTTTTTTTTTTAGTTTTTTGGCGTTTGAGCATGCCATGCATATGAAAAATTTAGTGGAGCTATTTCAACGCCCCCGTAAACAGTAAATTAGATGAGACTTTTCAGTAATGTAACTCTACATCGGGACGTATTTTGGGGACCAACAAGAGGCACCAAACGAATAGGCTGGAAATTTGGATAAATTTTTGGAGAATGAAAAGTGCGCGTTATATATTACAAACACCGAAAAACAAATTCCTTGAGGCTGATTTCCATTATCCCTCAGTGTTTTATTCTGGCGATATCAGTGAGCTTGTTTTATTTAACTCTCATTGATCCGCTAACAAACCAAACAGATCAATATGCCATCGCGTTTCTAATCAAAGTCAGTAATTAGTTTTTGCATTTTTCATCATCCTAGTGAGGTGCCAGTTGGGGAGATCAGCGTTGGAATTGCCCTGAGTTCACCTCACCGTGCAGATGCATTGCAAGCTGTCCAGTTCATCATTGACGCTATAAAGTCACGAGTTCCCATTTGGAAAAAGGTAGGTGTTTCGGGTTTCGACGTAGAATAACCGTTCATTCCAGGAGTTTTATGCCGATGGTTCAGCGTGTTGGAAAGAAAACAAAATTCCGATGGAGATGACAAAACATGCTACTTGAGTGGAATTTTTTCACATTTTGTTATACTATTTATACTATTTTTTTCGTTTCTAGTGAACATCTAACTACCTCGAAATTCTCTTTGTAACTTGGATTTTCTCAGACTGATAAGCTCCAAACAGAAGTGATTAGCATATGAGTGTTCGTTTCCGTTTCACAGAATAAATGCAGTTTATTTACGCAATAAAGGATATTCTGAATTTTATGAGGAAAAAATATGCAATCATTACAGTCGGGCCAGTCGGCCTTTTGAATACCACCCTAATGGCTCCAAATTGTCTCTTAAATTGAAAGTCAAACTCAGCTTATTAAGCGATTCCCCTGACTCATTAAAAAACCTATGGTTTATTGAATTATATTTTTGGCCTCACTGCACTCTTTGTTCCATGAACTGAGTAAATTTTTTCACATTTTGGACTTTCAAAATGGTTTGTCCTAGCATGTGGTAAGACGTCGTTTTGTCTGGCTTGAAGGCTTCGGAAGTTCAACGCAAGTGCTCATCGATGGCTGAAATATAGTTTAGCGACGTGGCGAACAGACGGATTCTAGTCAGCTCCTCATTATAATGAAGCCCAACAAAATTGAGAAGAAAATCACAATCAATCATCACCACTACAGCAAAACTTTGAATGCTTCCAGTTAGATACGTGACTAAGTGTTTAGCTTTTTTATCTATTGCTTAACACCTTCGGGCAATTAAAGTATCCGTGTGTTGTCAGTATGTGGATCTGAGTTTTCAGCTAATCAAACTTTATTATTGTCGCGGCCTATCACCACGTTATCTGCCTTTTCTTCAAAAAGACGACTGTCAAGCACCTGGTTGTTTCGTTGAGCTGGGTTTTCCTAGTCAGTGGTCACGAATGAGATCACAGGCCTATTCGTGGGTTACTGCGTTGCATCCACCGAGAACTGACTCATCTGAAATGTCTTCTCAAACGATTAATTGAGGTTGTTACCGTTTAGGATTTTCTGGAAAACTGTGTGCAATGAGAAGATATTTTATAACTTCACTGCACAACTGACTAAATTATGGGCAGCTCGGCTACAAGGGAAGGGTTTCGTGGGTTTGAATGCAAATTAGTTTACATCGAACTTTCAACCAGCTTGGTGAAATTCAGAAAATCCCAGCAACTTTGTAAACGATTTCGTGTCAAGCAAAATACTTCGCCCCGAAACGTAACCGGCCCTCATGCAGCGTGTTCAGGCAAAGAACATCAGAAAAATGGGGTTTAGTTCAGCCTTTTGCTAACCCTGGCCTCCTTTGTAAAGGACTATTTGACTTCACACTGTTGGTTCAGTTGAAAAATAATACTGATGGAAATTATAGGCTTAATTTGCTTGGTGGAACAAGAAATCACGAGGCAGTTATTTGGCTGTACATTGATTTTCATCAACGAGTTCTATTAGGGAAATAGACCGATTACTGTCACTAAATCATGTGGCATTCTAAAAACACCGTGCCATGCTCAGACGAAAAACAATCTCAGTAATTTTCAGCTACTATGAATCTTACTGTAGTGAATGTTCATGTAGCTGAACAACTTACTTCTCGGCTGGCCCAGTTGAATTCAAAACAAAGGATTATTCGTTTGCGTATGCTCCTTTTATTATTAATGATTTTTTGCATTCGTTGCGTATTGAAGCCTGTTTGTCTTTTTGCGGTTGTCAAAGAGAGGAATAACTGTGAAAGTTTGTGGATAGGGTGGTAAACTAAGCTCTAATCTGATAGTGTATTTGAATCCAGTCATTTATGATACGACTAATTTCAGAGGTTCAACAATGGGTAAATAGAAATGGACCTTATATGCTAATAAAATCACACAGATCAAATCCAGAGAATACCAACGGCACCTACAACAATTCGATGACATCGCATAAACGTAATCTACTGCTGGGAACTCTTCGAAAGCCCACGATTGGGTTTCAACAGGTAGGCTCACTCTCCTAGTTTACATGAACTTTGAGTTCTACTTTAAATTGCACGAAAGTTAACCTATATGCTTATCTGTACACTAGTGTAGTTTTTTTGCGGTAAAATCACCTTGAAACCAACTAAATCTCTTGTTTATGAGCATCTTAAGAACATTTATATATATACATATATATATATATATACATTAGACAGAGATAATAAATCGTGATGCATTCTCAGCTGAAACAAAAATTCAGTCGTCAGAGATTCACTAGCGGCTTGTTAAAAGTACAGGTTATGACACACGTGGTCTCGTCACTTGAGTAGCTTACCGAATGAACGCCGGCAACCACAAGGATTTTGTATTATCCAAAGTTTAGACAGGAGTACTCTTTGATGGCGGAATCTTCTTTTTGGTGAAATTCGGTAACTGTTTCAAGACGTTTTTTCAAATGTCAAGGCCGTTCGGAAGAAAGCGATCCCCTAAGGGCACGCTGTCTTTGTTTTCCGGATTGGAACAGAACCAGTTCGGACACTTGAGTGGGTGGTTTCTTCCCTGTTCTATAGGTCTAGTGGAACCAATATATCATCACATCCAGCCAAATATCTTCGAATTAAGTGCGCAGTTCTGAGTGCACGTAAGCTACGGTTCAGTCTCCGGTTAGTCATAAACGCATTGTCTTTTCTTTTCACAGTAAATGATATATTCGACAGGCTTGACCGTTTACAAAAGGTCTTCAGAATCACACAAGATCCAGTGTGGCCACGCATCCCTAGTCTGCTAGAAGGCGAACGTTTTTGGTCATAATTTTCGTTTTTCATGAAACGTAAACTGCCCACGATGGAGAACTAATACTATCTTCTGAGAGTCGCCAATGGCTTCTCCAATATACCGCGTTTCAACCTACGCACTACAGTAATTATTCAAGCTTTCACTTTGTCCATCAAAGTTGAATGTTAGAAACATCAATAACTTTGGTAAACGAGGTTAGTCCCGAGAAAAATTCATTATTGAACTTTAAAAGTGGCTCACAGGAGACCGATCTGAATGGTGGAATAACAGTAATATACATTAATAACAAGAAATTTTTATATTCATACAACTGCAGACCTTTTTTCAGTTCAGTTGTTGCAGGACATTGTTCTCGTGAATAGGTTTGCGAGAATACGTAAGTGGATGCGGAAATTCATATCAGCAAGTGAGATGTAAATCTGCTGAGGAGCCAAACAGAGACCACCTTCCAATTTTCTTTCTGTTACATTGTCGAGATATATGTATATGGAATAAAATCACAAGCAAATAATAAACTTGGCCTTTACCTCATTTAAATAGACAGCCGACTATTCATTTTTTTCACAATAACTAACTCTTAATTTCCCATATCGCTGCTCAAAAGCCATACTGCAATCGTAACTGTAAAGGTGCCAGTCTTCTGACATGTATGCCTGTGAGAAGAACCTATATAATTTAAACGTCTGATGATTGAAGTTAGTCAGTGATCCAGTGGGTAATGATGAGAATAAAGTGATTGTCGCTGCATGTGATGTCGTATCGATGATGTGTCGGGCATACTAATCACATCGCTCAAGTGAGAACACGTTCACCCATTCAGACGTGAGAATTCAGATGCGTCCAACGTGCGCTGGTGAAATAGTGGCAACACGTTCGCCTCACATGTCAGGTGTCCGGAGTTCAAACCCCGGCACGGCCATTGGATATACACTGCTGATGAGCTCTAACAAGAGCGAAACTCGAGTCCAGTGCTTGCCCCCCTTTGGTGTGGATTCACATGAATAATTGCGCCAGGACAGGAGGACGACTGTTCAAAACGAGAGTGATGTGAAACTGAAAAAAGTGATTGTCATTTGGTCGAACAACCGAAAAGCCACGCTTTAGTTTGGGACAGATAGCGCATGAAATTCGCTTTTATTTAAGTGTCTGGTTCAACTGCTATTCAAGAACTTTTGACAAAACGGTAGATGTGACAGTCCGTTGACATGGTTCTTGCAGGAACCAAATGTTCACGAGAGTCTCATACATCAAACAGCATGTTTTTGCATATACGTTTCTGTTTGGACATTTGTCAAACAATTACGATTGCAGTATGGCTTTTGAGCAGCGATATGGGAAATTAAGAGTTAGTTATTGTGAAAAAAATGAATAGTCGGCTGTATATTTAAATGAGGTAAAGGCCAAGTTTGACTACAACTTATTACCAAAAGCTGGAAGTCATTCCTTCTCTGGTTGCTCAAGTTTGCTATTGGTGCGCAGAACCTCATTGTTTTGATTAATGTCTCAGAAACCATCAACCGAAAGGAGGCAACCTGATAAGGAGGAGGTTAGATATGCTTTCCACTGCAGACGATAATTTCTAGGAAACCGGGAGATAGCCATGAAAGACCAGAGGGATTATGTTCCCGTATCTTTAATATACTGGTGCTATCAGTTTGACTCAAAGAATACTTTTCGCTGGACAAACACATTGCCCCTTGGCACAGTCAAACTGATTGTGAGAGCATGGAATATTATTTGAGTATTTCATGCAACAGCTTAATTTTCAAGTACTGCTTTGGGTCCTTTCAGTGAACAGCTGAATCATCGGTCATCATGTGACATTGATGTGTTTTCCGTGATTGAACAATGACCGGTGGTGTACCCTTTCCAAGGGAGAGTTAATCACAGCTGATCAGCCGCTTGTGGTCAAACGGTTGTGTTCGACCTGCTAGCTAGAAGCTCGCAGGTTCAGAAAGTCCTTGAGTTTTTTAGGTGTTTACTGTTGATGTATCCCGATCAGGATGAAACAGCTGTACCCCACTGCTTAGCTTCACAGCACAGATTGGATTAGCTTTTTAAGACAAAATCTTCATCATGACTTCTCTACTTTTACTGGCACTACCAATACTGACCACGTTTGCCTACTTGTCTTTTTATGGCACACTGACTTTCTTGCTTTCAACATAGATGAGGTGGGTTATAGTTTGCACGTTTGAGATTAAAAAGAGAGAACTACTGATTCATATCTCTGTGGAAGAAGCCGAACAGAGTGTTTTTAAAACGGCAATGAAATACTGCTACCATGGGATC